AGAGAAAGAGAGAGGAATATAATTGTATGTAATTATTATTGATTGATATATTGATTGTAGTGTACAATGATTCCTATATATAGAAGAGTAGGTGGTAGTAGGTGGTAGGTGGTAGGTGGAGTAGGTGAAGTGGAGGTGGTAGTGGTGTAGTGGGTTTAGTGGAGTAGGTGAGGTGGTAGTGGTGTAGTGGGTTAGGTTTAGTGGAGTAGGTTTAAGTGGGTGAAGTAGGTGATAGGTTTTAACACAAAGTTTCAGCAAAATCAGAGCAAATTAAAAAGCATGAGCCATAAGATACTAAAATCCCTTACATTACAACATGCAAAGCTCTTCAAGAAAAAACATTGAAAGTCCAAAATGTATCCACCTTATACATTACAACAACAAAATGAAGAAGAAGAAGAGAGGAGACAAAGAAAACCTCACCAAATGGAGAAGTTGATTGGCTAAATGCTGATGGTGCACTAGAAGAAGCACCAAAAGCAGGCGTAATAGAAGAGCTCATAGGTTGTCTCCAAGCCCTCCAAGCCCTGCGTTTCCCTAATAAAACAAAGAGTATTGCACTTAAAAAGCCACTATAGGACATAGTAGGGTATCATGATGTAGAAATAGGTGAGGAAGACCTTACCATGTTTGCTAAAAAATGTTAGAAATTCCTTAAGGTTCAATTTGGATGGTATGAATCTTGAGGGGGGAATGAGAATATGATTTAGGGCCCTTGTGATTCCACTATTTGGAATTAATTGGAATCGAAAAGTGATTCATGATTACATACTCAGACTGGAAACACTTTCCCAAATTCAACAGAAGTATAATCCCTACACTGTAATCTCACATTTTCAGAGAAATGAAAACCATTTAAGAGTAAAAAGTAGATTGCCTCACAACATTTAAAATTTTATAATTTGCCACATTTGTCAATAGATAATTCCTAACTAAATCAAATGCTTGAATAACAATGACAAGTAATTTTATTACTGGTAATAAGATTCTCATACCTTCTTTTTGACCCTTCCATCCAAAAATAGCCTAAGTTTAAAAAGAGCAATACGTCCTCAAAACCTAACCAAACCAAACCAAGTCTTAAGTCTCATCAAATGGGGTCGGTTACATGAATCTTTCTTCTCCACGCGGTCCTATCAAAGGCCATTTCGTTAGTCAAATTAAGCAAATCCATATCTCTATTTACAACACTAGCTAACGTTAATCTAAGCTTACCCCGTCCCCTAATACTTCCATCTACCATTACAGCATCACATCTCTTCACTACTGCCTCTATTGGTCTCCATTGAATATGACCAAATCATCTCAATCGATTCTCTCTCAACTTATCTTCTATCGGTGCTACTCCTACCCATTCCCGAATACAATCATTCCTAATTCTGTCTTGTCTAGTCTGGCCACACATCCACCTTAGCATCCTCATCTCAGCCACACTCATCTTATCTACATGTTGTTTCTTGGTTGCCCAACACTCCGTCCCATACAACATCGCTAGTCTAATAGCCGTTTTATAGAACTTACCTTTTAGTCTAGTGGGTATTCGTTTATCGCACAGTACCCCAGATGTAGGTTGACTTGGTGCGCCAAAAGGAGTAGAAGAACCAAATAAGCTGCTCCCAAAAGCCAGCTGTGATTGTTGGAATGTGCTTCCAAAAGGACTTGTTTGGGTAGTACTAGACCCAAAGCCACCGAAAGCAGACTTTTGTCCAAAAACAGAAGAACCTATGTTTCCATAATAAATAAAGAGAATAAGCATAGTCAGTTTAATATAAATCCAGAATGCGTTGGTCACAGGATAGAACAAGATAGGGGGAAAAAATGCCATATGAATAATTGAAAATGAGAGAACTCAATTATGTCTATAAAAACAACACTTATAAAAACAACACTAATAGACAATGTGCAACACAGGAATTAATCAACGATTAAATGATAGAACACTAGTGATGGAAAAACCACTATGTGACCTTAATGATGAAGAGATACAAGCAAGAACACCAATACAAAAAAGTAAGCAAGTATCCATGAACTTAAAAGTAAATAAAAAAAATAAAAAAAAAAAGGCTAAGCTACCAATATGTCCTAATAGTTAGACTAATTCCCATCAATTCCTACTGAAAACAAGTCATAGTACAATTGTTGCTAAAAATAATTTTTCATGACGATTTTTTACATGTCGCTAATTAGCGACTTTTTTCACTATTTTATAAATTGTCGCTAAAACTTACAATTAGTGACGTTTTTGTGACGGATTTTTCAAACTGTAGCTAAAAGTTCAAAATTAGTGACTTTTTTTATGATGATTTTTTTAATCTATCGCTAAAACTTATAATTTAGTGACGTTTTTTGTGACAATTTTCAAACTGTCACTGAAAATTAACAATTAGTGACCTTTTTTAATAGTGTATGATGAAAAATGTCATTAATTATCATAAAACTTATTGAGCAATAAATCCGCTTAGTAGGACCAACACGTAAGTCCCCCAAGAATGAATGAAGAAATAAAAAAATTTGGTTTATTCAGTCTTTATTCCTGTTAAACACTCTGAAGGAGAAACAAATTGTTCGCTCAGCATAATATGCTACAAAGAGAAAGTGCTATACATGGTAGCTCCAAAAAAACAGAAGGCAAATTTGAAACAGAACCAGTTGAATACGTCACAAATAACTGCTAGACCCCACTTGTCCAGATCAAGTTCTCCACGGAAGCAGTTAAATCAAGCTTTTCACTCACCAAGGCAAGTCCTATCCAAGTAAAAGAATATTGTGCATAATGGATTCACAAATACCAAATTCATCATTAGCAAACCAGGAAGATCAGCATGTTCAATTGACAATGACCATTAAATAAGTTCATACAAAAGTCAGTTGTTGACATAATAATAATTTAATGACTACAAAAATAATAAGTATATCAAAGCAATAAGAAGCCTGGTATAAAGCACCCAAGCAAATATTCATCCAAATTAGAAGTAAGAGAAAAATAAGCTGTTCAAACATAGAAATCTCCTTGGGGGTTATTAGGCATTATTCCCTTCATATTGCAAAAGGAAACAAAAGATTTGCTTAGCGACAATATTACTAGAGAAAGTCACTGGCTCTCCCAAAAAATCGCAATTGAAAGGAGAACTTAGTGTGTGTGCAATAACTCCTAAATCGTACTCCCCAGGCTTTATCACTCCCAACATTGCATTTAAATCAAGCTATGGAATCAATGACAAAAGCCTAATCAAGTAAAATTATTTATAATGAAAAATTCAATTGTCAAACTCATAGGGAGTACATATTCCACCTAAGAACCATTTCCACTTCCCCGTATCGAACGGTTAAGAAAGGGATTGATGGAAAATAATGACTAAAAGAACAATAAAACATCTGAAAATCAATGTATATTGTCATGACTAACACTTCATTGCCTCAAGGATACTAGGATGCTAACACATTCCCAAAGAAGCTACAGACTATGCCTTATAGATTCTGCCTAATCATATATCAAATTAAAATAATCAGACAAGAAGTGGATATGGAGTACCCTCCTTAAATGTACTTACTGCCAAATGATGGTGATGATGAAGCTCCAAAAGCAGACATGGAACCACCAAAAGCTGGAGCCGATGAAGCACCAAAAGCTGGCGTGGAAGTCAAAGGTGATGATGATTGGGTTGCACCAAAAATGCTAGTTGAAGTGCTGCCAAAAATGGAACCCCCTGTCTGCGAACCCAAAGGGGTTGTACTACCGAAGGGTTTGGGAACAAATGGATTGCTGCTTGCATTATTAGCCTGTCCAAAAACTGATTGGGACCCAAATGGGCTATTGGACGACTGCCCAAAAGCTGTCAATTGATTCCACATTTATAAGTATGCAGAAAAAGGATGAAAAGCAAATAAAAAAGACCGTCTATTTACTAGTGAACTCCAACATATTATTAAGGAAAACAAGAGCAAACATTGAAAGAACTTGCATCATAAACAATGTATGATATAAACATCAATGCATGCAGGTTCCAAACAAACATTTATCTTTATTTAGTATTTATTTATTTGTGATAATATCACATATACACATTAATGAACATAGATCATTCCTATTTGAAAAATAGAAAAAGGCACAAAAGCAAGAAAGAGGGAAAAAATAAAAAAACAAAATAGGAAGGGACGAAAAAAAAAAAGAAAAAAAAAGGCATTTCATGTTCAAAAAATCAAGGAACTCAACAGTATGCCAAGGAACAAACTTTACAAGAAGAACTTGTTTCAAGATGTATGGTGGTGATTTCCATGGACAAAACTTATGCTAGGTTGTCTACACATGTCATCAGTTTTCATACCATATCCATGAGTCATTGATCATCTGACACTTTACAATGCTTACTCCATGTGTTTTTATAATTTCTCTACTGTGCATATAGCATTAGTCTAGGACACGTTTTTCATTGGTTTAATTGACTTAGGCTTGCTAGATTTCAATTATGTGTGTTTTTATTACCTAATTGATTGAGAAACAGGATTGAACCAAATTTTAACTGTGTTACTATTACTCCTTGAAAAACAATGCAAGAATAGACAATCAGAGAATCCTAATCAAAGGGCATTCGAGCAATTCAAGAGCTAGACAGGAGCCTGGTTTACCACCCAAGAGGTCCATTCAAAGCCCGCTTAAAGGCAGCTCAATCAATGTACAATGATTGGATTTCCAGTCCAGTATGCTCAAAGGCTGGTTGAGCATTGTGCAGAGTTTTGGAATTCAAGAAAAACTATATTGCTCAACCTAGAAATAGGGCTATTATAAAATTATGAGATACACAAACAGATTTCTGAGGTGCCCTAGCCTCCACAGAGTTCCAAACCTCCAACAAGATCACATGAAACTTAGACAAACAATTCTAATTCAATAAACTAACAGATCTGTAAACCATCACTAGTTTGATCATTAAAGAGCCATACACACACTTGCATCTCACATTCTTTGGCCACCAGTGTTTGAGACACTTTGTGAATCTAACGCCCAGAGTTAGATCCATTTAAACCATTTCAATGTATTTAGACTTGCCTAAGAAAGTGGTTTAAAAACTAAACCTCAACTATTTGACAGGAGTCATTATGCATATTAGAAAGAATGCATGGGATCTTTCTTGAGGCATAGTTGGGTTTATTTGTTGACTATGGCTATATACCACCTTGCATAATAAATGCTAGGGGTGAGTCCAAGCCTAAGCCCCTTCAGATGGGACCAAATTGACAGAAAATAATGGCAAGAACAGAAAAGCAATTAATGCTAGTTTATATGTTATCTGTCCCATAAACTAGCCTTCACCACTAAGTTTCAAGCCTAACTATTAAAAGCTCTAAGCTTCAAGCACTAAGTTTAAAGAATGTAGATGCAAGAGTCTAGACTTTTGATTGATTTTATGCTAGACTCAATGACATAATCAACTTCAGATTCAACTTAAGTGAATCCATCAGAGAGTCAAAAATTGTGAGAACGTTTTGAGGCTGCCCCCAACTGATTCAGGGCTAAATTGTTACAGGAAAGAGTAAAGACATAGATTCTCTCATGATAGAAGAGCTCATAGGTTGTCTCCAAACCCATGGACTCAACATATGACCTGTGTTTCCCTAATAAAACAAAGAGTATTGCACTTAAAAAGCCACTATAGGACACAGCAGAGTGTCATGATGTAGAAATAGGTGAGGAAGACCTTACTATGTTTGCTAAAAAATGTAAGAAATTCCTTAAGGTTCAATTTGGGTGGTATTTTTTTTTTTTTTTTTTGATAAATAATAATTTGGGTGGTATGAATCTTGAGGGGGAATGAGAATATGATTTTGGGCCCTTGTGATTCCACTATTTGGAATTAATTGGAATCGGAAAGTGATTCATGATTACATACTCAGACTGGAAACAATTTCCCAAATTAAGCAAAAGTATAATCCCTACACTGTAATCACACATTTTTAGACGAATGAAAACCATTTAAGAGTAAAACGTAGATTGCCTCACAACATTTAAAATTTTATAATTTGCCACTTTTGTCCCATAAACTAGCCATGACCACTAAGTTTCAAGCCTTACTATTAAAAACTCTAAGCTTCAAGCACCAGGTTTAAAGAATGTAGATGCAAGAATCTAGACTTCTGATCGATTTTATGCTAGACTCGATGACATAACCAACTTCAGATTCAACTCAAGTGAATCCATTGGAGAGTCAAAAATTGTGAGAAGGTTTTGAGGCTTCCCCTTGACTGATTCAGGGCTAAATTGTTCTAGGAAAGAGTAAAGACATAGATTTCCTCATGATAGAAGCGCTCATAGGTTGCCTCCAAACCTATGGACTCAACACATGACCTGCTTCTCCGTAATAAAACAAAGAGTATTGCACTTAAAAAGCCACTATAGGACACGGTAGAGTATCATGATGTAGAAATACGTGAGGAAGACCTTACTATGTTTGCTAAAAAATGTAAGAAATTCCTTAAGGTTCAATTTGGATGGTATGAATCTTGAGGGGGAACGAGAATATGATTTAGGGCCCTTGTGATTCCACTATTTGGAATTAATTGGAATCGGAAAGTGATTCATGATTACATACTCAGACTGGAATCACTTTCCCAAGTTAAGCAGAAGTCTAATCCCTACACTCCCATGAGGTAGTCTCACATTTTTAGAGGAATGAAAATCATTTAAGATTAAAAAGTAGAGTGCCTCACAACATTTAAAATTTCATAATTTGCCGCATTTTGTCGATAGATAATTCCTAACTAAATCAAATGCTTGAATAACATTGACAAATAATTTTATTACTAGTAATAAGATTCTCATTCCTTCTTTTTGACCCTTCCACCCAAACATAGCCTAAGTTTAAAAAGAGCAATATGTCCTCAAAACCTACGAACAAACAATCACTATTGCTGAGTATAGGCCCATACGGGCTGATCTAGTCGACGTCGCTGGGCCAAGGCCCAACTCGATTCTACCAAGGCCTCTTCAGTCAGCAAGCCAGACCATGTGTCCAAGTCGGACGACCACAAGCATGCAACTAACCTCTGGCGCCCTTCCATAATGGGCACAACGCAGTCACACAGAGGACGCATTGTGTCATTTGCTTGTCTCCCCTGCCACTTGAACCTGCAGGTGTACTATCATACACGTCCTAAGAAAGGAGTGCCATGTGGTCCCCCTTGGCAGATAAGAATATACATACAACCACAATACGCATTCCAAGTATCTTATATCATTTTCATCTTTTGCAATCCTCCATTGCTCTCTATCTTCAAGAGAACTAATTTATTTGTCAGAGATCCCCTGATAAGGGCACCTACCGATGAGTTCTTAAGGGTTTTGTTTGCAGGTTACCACCAAAAGACCCGAAGCCTAACTATCCAACACAAATGACCCGTGAATCCAATGACCACCATAGGCCCACCAAATACTGATTGTCATCAACTACAAATCTAATCAGAATAAAAGTGATAAGAAGTCTCAATCGGGGAAGGATAGGAAATCCAAAAGGAAAGTATCACAGATATCATGTTTTTGGACATATTTCCAAATTCTATCCAGTGCCCTAACAAGTAAATGCCTAAAGCCAAGGGACTAACAATCACATAGGTTGCCAATGCCTCAGAGGAGAGCTTAGACTTAGGCGAAGATTGTAAGAACTATACTATATGGTTATTTGAGAGAGAGGATAGACTTCTCAACATGAGAAAGCTCCAGACTTAGGTAGTGGTGCATGTGTCTAGCTCCAATGGTAGTGTTTCTAAGGAGTCTCTAATGGGGAGGAAGTAGAGTCAATTCAGCACGCTAATACTGAAATGGATAAAGAGTGTCTCAAGCTTAAGAAAAGTAAGATGAACTTGGTAGAAAAGGAGGGAGATGTCTTTAGATCTTTTTTTTCTTCTTCTTTTTTTTTGATTCAAACATCTAAAATAAGTGAGAAGACGACTTCTACAAAACAACTCAATAATTATAAAGCTATCCTTTCTAAGAGGTTCATTGCTTTAGAAAAGAAAAGAAATGATAGTACACAATCTTGTAGAAAGGCTACGTCTAGGGTGTCTACCTTAGAGAAAGTAGTGTTCGATGCTAGGGGCACTTCAAGAAGTTCTCAAGTAGTTCTTATTTTTTTCAGCATTAACCAGCTTTAGACCGTAGCAAATCAATCTAGAAATCTTAGCCATGATATTCATAGGTTGCTTTCCTTTTCTATGAATTGGCAGGTTTCACCCACTTCAACAAATTTTTGAAAGGGTAAAGACAATATTATGAACCAAAAGCCCAATAGGATGCCTCAAAATAAGAGAAAGTAAACCCAAATGAATAGGAAGATGTCAAACACTAACAATGTGTTAAATCCTAAAGGGCCTATAGTAAAATAAGGAGGGCCTAGAAAGGATACACTACCTTGTTATGTAGTCTACCAAAATCTTACGATTCACGATTCAATTCACAATTTATGCCAAATCAATACAAATCTATAAATGAATCTATTTTGGAAGTGATTTATGGTGAATCGCAAGATTCACCAATCAATTCACTTTTTGCGATTCATGCAATTCTAACTATCATGTCCAACATATTTCAATTATTTGTTTCCCTCTTTTTAGTGAAAATGACATAATAATAGTGTTTAGTATGAAAATAACTAATATATATACATGATTTGTTACTTTGATAATAGATAGTTTTTAATAGGATCTAATCAAATTTAGTCAGACCCAACATGTTTTTAATCTTTTCTTTTTATTTTTTTCCTTTAAAAAAATCATAATATATTTTCTAAATATGTTTAAGGTTAAAGTAACTTGCACCACGAATTATCTATTGCTATTTTAT